GACATGGTGGTGGATTTGGTGCTGGGGGAGGAGTTGGAGGTGGTGCCGGAGGAGGACTTGGCGGTGGTGGTGGTGCCGGAGGTGGAGGTGGACACGGTGGAGGCCTTGGAGGAGGTTTTGGGCACGGTGGTGGCGCTGGAGGAGGTCATGGGGGAGGAGTAGGCATTGGGATTGGTATAGGAATAGGTGTTGGGGTTGGTGGAGGCTCCGGTCATGGTTCCGGCAGTGGAAGCGGTAGCGGTGGTGGTGGCCATTAATCAAAACGACTTATTATTACTACTCATCTTAGTACTTTTATGTCCTCTTGCATTTGTTTTTAATCACAAAACACCAAAAAAACATGTATGATACATCAGTTTTCATTTCAAAATGTGATTTCTCCTATTTTTGTTTAAGAATGCTTTCGATAATCACAATAAGAAAATATTGTTCAATACGGATTGATCTTAAATGTTTTGAATGAAAGGAACATATCTATATTTTCAATGTGTAACATACAAAGAGGGCCATTTACTTCAATTTTGAGGTCCTATTTAGTCAGATATTTCTCCACCAAACTCACATAAAATGAATATTATAGCTATATGGCCAACTTCACTTATTTTATAAGCAACATTTACAGCAGAAAATTTACTTCATTGGCCAATGTTTATTTTTGAATTCATTATTTGCTTTAACTTTTCATTTTCTGTTCATAGATGAAATCTCTTACAAGCACCATTGTTATCTTTCCAAACTCGGTGATGATGTGGTTAAGTACATCAGGACAATTAGTTTTCTATACAATGCTTTTGTTTGCTATAGTGCGTCAAGAGCGATAGTAGTGTGTATCATCATGGTTTCCAACGTTTTTTATTTGAGATATATTGGGAGCAAGATGTGTATTTTGCATATTAACTGTTATGAACCGTCAGAGTCCGATACTGAAGTAAACCCGTAAAGCTCAAGTCGAAGAATATTCTAAAAGTATAACAAAGATTAAGAAATTTAGAATATTTACTTATTCATTTTTATCTATTTCATTTTCTAATTAGGTTAAACATAAAATTAACATATATACCATGACCTATTCCTATACCAATTGCATGCATATATGTTAACGATTAGGTTTCTAACAAGTAACATGTATAAAACAAGATTATAATATTTTTAAGAGAATGTGTAAGAGTCAAAATTACTTTTGTTTTGGATTTTGTATAATAAACGACGTATGTGTTTTATAATACCAACAACTTTTTGTATTTCTTATCTTATACCAAATAATTAGAAAATCTAAGCAATTTAAACCGAAGTTAAACCGGAATTTGGATTGGGAGGTGCTCATAACAAACAATTATATTGTTCTCTGCTTTCAAGAAATGCTACTTTCTCCTTCTTCGTCAAATTCTCTTTAAAGATTCATTAACGACGCTTCAGGTATCTATCTTTGAAGATCTGATCGGAGATTAGTGAAAATTAGGGTTCTTTAGATTAGGGTTGGCGCAAAAAGTATGGATAGGATCAGTAATTTACCAGAGGAACTTGCTTGTCACGTAATCTCATTCCTTTCAACAAAAGACGCAGCGAGGTTGAAGTATGCTTCCAAGAAATGGTATAATCTTGTTACCATCATACAGAGTTGTGTTTTTGCTGATTCGTACTATCCCATCAATGGAAGTTTCGAAGTTTTCGCTGCTCGATTACTATCTCCTCGACATGACCAGAGTCACCACCGTATGAGAAGATTCTATCTAAAGCTCACGTCTTCGTCTTTGGATCCTTCTCAGTGTGATACAGTCAACGAGTGTTTACTTAGTGTGTTCAAGCGTGGTGTCTTGGATCTTGAACTCCACATCAAAGGACGTTATGATCATTACTACTCACTGCCTTCAGAGTTGTTCACTTGCAAGAGCGTTGTGAAACTGAGACTAGGCTCTGGTTTTGTTATTGATCTTATCCCTAGTACTGCTCTGCTTCCTTCTCTCAAGTCTCTCTTTCTTGATTCAGTTATGTTCGATGATACTACTGCGTTTACAAGGCTTATCTCTGCTTGTCCTGTGCTTGAGGAGTTACTCATACATGGCTTCAACTGTGAAGATTGGTACTGGTCTCGCGTTGTATCTAGTCACATCCTTAAGAGACTTACTATTCGACGCCAAGAACTGTATCACGATGGAGCTAGTTTTGACCCTATCAGTTTTGATATTCCGAGTCTTGAATACTTGATTACTTAGATGTTCTTAGAGATCATTATCCAGTTGTTAATCTCAGTTCACTTGTTGAAGCTAAGATAGAGCATCGTCCTCTTTACAATAGGGATAACTATGATGTTACCAATCTGATTAAAGGGTTAAAGAATGTTCAGATTCTTACCATAGGAGCTGTTGACACATTGGAAGTAAGTGTTGTCTCTTTAATGATCTGTTTGTTATTGAAGTTATGACTCCACTGAGACTAATTGTCTCTTTCATGTAATAGCTGTTTTGGGAGTTTCCTGAAGCTGTCCCAGTGTTTGAGAACCTGTTTCATTTATCAGTATGTACTCTGCTTACTCTTCTTAAAAACTCTCCAAATCTTAAGACTCTCACCATTGAGGTATGAACAAGAAACATCCCAAATAGTCCATTGGAGAAACAAAAGAATCGAAAACTCACAAAATCTTTTTTGCAGGCTTTGCACTATCATACTAGAAAAGGTGATGAGGTGTCTCTTTGCCAATGCTTGGAGGGTTACTCGTTTCTTTTGTCCTGCCATATTGAGATATTAAAGATAAACCAATTCTATGGATATATTGGAGAAATGGTGCAAATAAAGCATATCTTGGAGAAACTGCAGTATTTGGTGTTGTTGGAAGTTCATGTTGAGGGAAGAAGTGATGATGACCTGCAGATCTTGGTGGATCTCTTAATGCTTCCCAGAGCTTCATCTAAATGCAAAGTCCAGGTCATGTTCTCCTGAACAAACATACGTGCAGTGCACGGTTCTGATAAAAAGAAACTTACGTGCAATGCACGGTTCCTGTTTGCTGTTTTGTTTTGGATCTTTCATACATAGACTACTGTTTTTTTCTAAAGTTCAGTAATTAATGCTGCTATGTAGCCAGCTTCAGTCTTTTGTTCGAAGATTACAATTCATAAACAATCATAACGTTTAAATTCACTAGCACAATTGCACAAACCAAACAAGCCTTAGCATAATACGATATGGTATATATATCCATAGGTGTGTTTCTAATTATTTATTCACAAGCCAATTTAGTGTCGAAGCTGCTCAAGCAAATAGTAAAGGCTTGAAAGGCAGAGAGAGGGTAGCTATAGTCCATAGTGAACATGTCCTTACCCACTTTCCCAAACTGTAGTATGATCTTATCATTGTCTGATGGCTCTAGCTTCTGTGATGGTGGTGATGGCTGAACCGTTGCAGCGGATATCAGTTGAAAGTTCTTTACCGACTTAATGGTCACTCTGTCTTTGAAGTAAAGGCACCAGCATTGCAACTTCTGGTGCCACCTTGGCGTTTTGTTTGTCAGCACCAAAGGCCCTTCCTTTCCTTTTTTCTCTTGCAGTCCAACAATGTCTGAGAACCGCGCGCTGCTGATATCTCCCGAGTGGTTGATTATCTTTGAGGAAGCGAAGCTGTGGAAAGATTCATCAAGGGAACGTTGCAGATTCTCGGGTTTGTCAGGGACAGTGCTGCCGGGTTCTAGAGGTAGGGTAGGGATAGAGTGCATAATGCAGTGCATCTTGCGAGGTCCACGGGTTCCAAACACGTTCAACTCATATGTAACTTGACCGATGTTGTAACTTCCAGAGGGGACTTTAGGAGAGACTTTGGGAGATGATGTTCTTGGACTGTTGTAGGCAAGAGCTGTATCATATATTATGAATTTTGTCCCTAAGAAGTTAGACCTGAAAATGAAGTTAAAACAAAATTTGCAAGAATTAAATCAAGAACTCAATCATGTTTTGCAAGAAGTAATCAAGAACTCAATCATGTGTTGGAAGATCTTATATTCTTACCTCATTTTGCCAATGTAAGTGCTACTTGATCTTGAAATGTTGTTTGCATCCATTGATATCACATACTCGGTGTATGAAGTCCTCCGTGTGCGCTTTGCCGAGAGAAGAAACTTTCCAGTTTCACCAAGTAAGGCTGTACAAATTGGACAAAGGTTAGTAAAATGAGCCACTAGTATATATATCAAGAGTCAAAAACTAAGTTAACATAGAAAAAATTTGAGTTTTCTGTTATTTTCAAGAACTTGCAAGACATGTCTTCTACTACATTTTGAGTTCAAATGACAAAACAGAGTTTACTGAAACAGAGTTTACTGAAACAGAGGTTTGGTAACATCAACAAAGACCAAAGACTAACCAGGGCTCAGAGAAAGATAAAGATGGTAAGTCATATTAGACTTATCCCTTTTGATAAAACAATGTATGGTTCCATCCCTAGTCCCGGGCTGCACAAATAAAAGAGTGGTCAGAATAACCGAGATGATATCGAAACGAAGTAACGAAACCTCGCACCTGTTTCAAAGAAACCGGAAACGTGAGTTTGCGGGAGAACTCAGGACTTTTGACAATATCTTTGCACATTAATCTCCATGTCTTGCAAACACCAGCACAAGCAACAACTTGTTTACGAGCAGGCCACTTGCTCTCGCTTTCATCCAACCTTCTCATCACATCTCGTAGTAGAGGAGCTGGCAAATTAGCCCAACGAGTGTTCTTGATTACAGCAAGATCTTCACCAAGTGTCTCAACCAATGCACCATAAGATTTACTTCTCTCATGAGTCCCATTAGACACTCTTGAAAAGCTTCCTAAACTATCTCTAACATCACGAACAATGCTACGAAACGACATTTTCTCTTACTATCAAAGCTTCTTCTTCTACAAAAACATGAAGAAACAAACATTATGAGTAAAATCTTAACATAAATTTCTCAAATTTAACAGTATATATATATATAGTTTGTGACTATACCAAAGCTACCTAAATTAAAGAATAATATATCTATAATGAAACATTTAGACGAAGAAAAAATTACTAACCAAAATCTTGATATTTCCACAATTATTTTCAAGAAATCAAAATCTTTAGATTCAAAAAGCTGAAGCTAACCTAAATTTCAAGAACACACAAAATCCAAAAAAAAAAAGAGGTTTTCAAGAATCTTGAGACACTTTTGGGTATATATGTAACAAAGCAAATAGATCAAAGCTAAACCCATAGAAAAACAAAGTTTCCTTTTGAATTCAACAACGATTCATTAGGTTTTCAAGAATCTTGAGAGTTGAGACCCAAAGGTTAGATCTTTAGTATCAAACCAAAGAGATCAAAGCTAAACCTATAAAAGACAAGCAAAAAGTAAAAGTAAAAAAGTTACAGGTAAGAAATTTAGAGAAGACAGATCAAAGAAGACAAACCTAATTTGTCTAAATTGTTTTCTTTGTCTCTCTCTGATCTTCAGCTCTTACTTGTAAAGAGTCACGGATTTCAAAACTTTATCAAATTCAGTATAACTGTAATAAAATTTAGTGCTTGTATTTAATTTTGTTTAGAATATCCTATATTTGTAAAATGTAACGTATTTATTTAATTTAATGTCTAGAATAAGTAATAATACATTTCATTATTTAGTATGATTCGATGACCAAATGACACGAGCACAATGTAGGCTTGTAGCCAAGGTGTTGAAGGGTCTCTATTACTTTTTATTTTCTTATGAAGTTTTTGTTAAAGCATGTAGAGACAAAGTCTTATTATAATGGTATTTTTAACAAGTAGGAAAAGTAAGTTAAACCAGAAACAAAAAAAAAAATGTTAGAATTTGTTTAAACTTCAGAGACTATTTAGTATTTATTTAGAATTTTTTTTAATTTAATCATATTCATTGTTTCTGATAATGTAGTCTTTTGTGTTTTATATCTTTAATAATCATATTTTACATTAAAATGGTAAATTTTTGATTAAGATATGGTACCATAAAAATGTTTATAATTGGAAAAATGTCATAAAAATCCCGAACTTTCAAAGTTGGGATGATTTAATTCGGAATTTTCAGAAAGTCATTTTAATCACAAATGTATATGTTGCATTTTCCGTAAAATCCTTATTTTTCGTTGACTTTGCTGATTTAACTATGACGTTTTATTTTTCTTAAAATCGCGAAGACGGAGTTAACTATACGTTAGGTGCCTCCAATTAGCCTAAACAAGGACTTTTTTTTTTACCCCAAAACGACGTCGTTTAACAAAATGAAGAATCTCAATCCACAAATCGATTCACAATTCACAAATTTGAATCCTTAATACTAGAAATATCAACAAATTCTTTATACCTCTTATCAAACTGTTGCCATGGCACGAACCTATGGAGTAAGAAAGCGACTTTCGACGTCGTTTCGTCGTTTAAAAAACATGGTCACTTAGGTTCAACGGAAGCAGGTCACAGATAATTATATCTCGGGTTCGTTTTAACAGATATTATATGTCATGCTTAAATCATCAAGGTCAACGAAACTTATATATTTTACAAAAAATTCAATAAAAACTTTATGATTAAAATGATTTTTTGAAAGTTTGGGATTAAATTGTCTCAAATTTAAAAGTTTAGAATTTTTACGACAATTTTCCCAATGTTTAATATCACTTAAAACCGTAACCACATAATTCTGTAAATTCTTGCAACCACAATTATAGTGTTTAAACTAATAAAATTTGTAATAACATCTTAAGTTCTATTTTTATTCATAAAAACTATAGCATAGCGCGGAAGAATATTTATATATACATACAAACTATAACGGATTACAATATGTTACAATTTTATTTCATTGTATGGTAGTCGATTACGGTAAATCATAGATTTTTGTAATAAGTTTGAATTAAAAACGAGTTAATGGTAAAATAATGTGTTAAATTTCATACAATAAAAAAATAAAAACAAAGAAAATTTTAAATACAGTGAGAGGGGATCGCCTTGTTGGAGTCCTCTTTCTAGCCGGAACGCTTCTGTCTTCTCCCTATTCCATAAGATCTGCATTGACATCCCAGTCATACAATTCATAACCCATTTCACCCATTTATCTGGAAGCGTTGCATCTTTTAAAGAACGAAGGCTATTGTGATGCAGTTAAAATCAGTTATGCCTTTGTTGATAGGGCCATCTCAAGCTAGTTTCATACCGAGAAGGCTTAGCACATATAATATTGTCGTTGTTCAAGAGGCAGTGCACTCAATGAGACATAAGAAAGGGATGGATGTTACTCAAGTTGGATCTAGAAAAGGCCTATGATCGCATTCGATGGGACTTCCTTGAAGATTCTTTAATATAAATTCCATTAAATATTAGAATTTTAAATTAGGTTTATGATTTGTAATTATTAAAAATTAAAAATATGTGCCAAATCGTTTTAGTTGGTAAACAAAATTAAGAATAATTTTATCTTATTGTAAATATGTAATAATCCTATTTATTAATTGGATTTATCACGAAATTAGTAATTATTTTACCAAATAATTAAATATTAAAATATTTTAGATGACATGAATAACGTATATATAGCGTGAATATCGTCTGAAGGGTTTTAGTAATATATTAGTAACGAAATCGTGATTTTAAAGTACTTCCTTCATTGAGAATTTTTAACTTTCCAAAACTAAATTTAAGCTATATGCAATTTTATGTAAATAGTTAATAATAATAGAGGATTTATACCGTATTTTCTGAGGAGGTATGTGAGTGCGACACGTGAGCTTTTTCTTTTGAGAATGCTTTTCTATTAATATGTAGGGGATACAAAGTTTGTGAAGAGATGTTTCACAAGACTTGAGAGAGATGTAGTTTTCGAGAAGTTTTATAAATCAATAAGCTAAGTTGTTTGTATATTCAAGTTTTTTAAGCACTTAGACTAAACGCATAATAAATTAAGAATGTAAGAGCACATCCATTGAAAAATTTAAGGTGTGTTTTTTACAAAAATACAATGATAATAGATAGTTTAAGTATCGCTCCTTAGAGCACTTGGGAGGTGTTAAAGAGATGGTTTATAAAAAAAAAAAATAAACAAAATGAAAACTGAAAAAAGAGAAAAAATGAGTACCTAAACATAGAGACTTTATAAAAGGGTTCATAAAAATAGTGGACAGATGTCAAACACTTAATAATTCAATGAAAAAAAAATAGAAAAAATATATAGATAAAAAATAATATAAATCCTTTTTTTTAAGAATCTCTAACTAGGTATTACCGATGGAGGTGGCCTTAGAGCAAGTTCAATGGTGATTTTATAGGGTGTCTAAAGTGGAATTTAGAGTATAATAATAAAATTTAATGCAAATGTTGGTCTAATAATTAAGACTTGTATCCTAAAATAAGACACATTTAGGATAAGACACATTTAACAACTTAAGACCCGATGACATGGCAAATTTTTATTGGCCACGGAAAAATTAATATATACATATATTTTAAAAAAGAATAATATATTTTTAAAATGAGTAATTAAGATTTGTATTATATTTTGAAAATGTATAATTATAATTTTTTAAATGAATAAAATATTTTCAAAATGAATAATTAAGATTTGTATTATGTTTTTAACATGTATAAATATTTTTTGAATAAATATTTTGAAACTGGATATTTAAGATTTGTATTTTTTTTTTTAAATGTATAAATTTTTTTTAAATGAATAAATATATTTCAAATGAATAAATATGTTTAAAATGAATAATTAAGATGTGTATATGTTTTAAAATTGTATAAGATATTTTTTTAGACATTTATATTGGATATCTCTATTGGATGGATAATCATTTGAGAGTGTCTTAAAAATTAAATTTACATAAAATCTAATAGTTCATTGTTTTAGACATCCTTGATGAATGTCACCATTGAACATCCTCTTTTTTTTTTTTTTTTTTTTTTTTTTTTTTGTTAACCAGAACTACAATCAAAACTGATCATAGTCGATTAGAAGGACCCAAACAGACTTGTTTAAAACCCTGCAGAGAGGAGTGAGCTTTGCGCGCCAAGGAATCTGCCATGTCATTCAAGCTGTGTGGAATAAGCGAGAGAGAGATGGTTGAGAATTCTTCCCTATCAATGTTGATGTCGTCAAGGTAGACAGAGAACGCCGGCCACTCGGACGGAGAAGACACCATCTTCACCAAATCTGAACAGTCCGTCAGGAACATAACATCACTGTAGTTATGTCCTATCATGCATCTCATCGCCCAGACCAGAGGTTCAACTTCAGAGTGAAGGGGAGATAGACTACGCCGTACATTTGAAGCACCCATCATCGAGGAAACTTCCTGCGCATGTTGAAAAACCAACCTAAACCTGCATAATCATCAGTGGACTTCCAAGAGCCATCAATAAAGCAGCGATAACCTGTATATGAGGGCGGAAGGGGATTAATAGGTCTCGGAATCTGACTCCTGGTAGGAGCAGTAATCTGTTCAGAACCCAATTGGACACCCAAGTCTTCCAACTGAGCTCCTCTCCAGGCAGTGGCTTCCTCCGTAGCTACCCGTAATATTTCCATTGGACTATCATCCTTGTTCTCATAAATTTTACCATTTCGAGCCTTCCATACATACCACAATATCCAGGGGCATGCCAAATAAGGATCTCCTTCCGAGATCAGCCGAAAATATAGTCCATATTAGCATATACAGACATTGTAGGAAAGACTAAAAGGCCCACAGGGACATTAGCCAGTGCCCAAACTTGTCTCGCTGGTGGACATTCAAAGAAAACATGATTAACCGTTTCCATTTGTGAACCGCATCGAACACACTTATCATCACACTGTATCCCCCGTTGGTATAAGTTCGACCAAACTGCTATACATCCCGTCAATAATTGCCACATCAAATGTTGAATTTTAGGTGGACACTTAATTTTCCATACCCTTGCTAGAAGAGGGTTAATATCCGGACCACAAACCAGAGGCTTATGGATCCTCGAATCAACCATTCTAGCCGTGTAGTATCCAGATTTTACCGTATATTTTCCGGTTTTCGTGAAATGCCATCCTACCGAATCTCCCACTGATGCGTTCCCAATAGGTAGAGCACTAATTAAAGAGACATCCTCTGGAGTAAAAAATTCTCGGAGTGTATCCAATTTCCAAGAATTTGTCTGGCGATCAATCAAATGACGAATTTGTAAAGACGGGTCGACCAACGACCCATTACTTATGGCTGGTCTCGGGAATTGAGCCGGAACCCAGGGATCCTTCCAAACATAAACAGAATCTCCTAAGCCGACCCTTTTAATCAGTCCTTTTTCAACCAAAGAGCGAGCGGAAACTATACTCCTCCATCCATAAGATGGAGAGTAAGATTTAATGGGATCCATAGGAGTCCCATTTCTATAATACCGACCTTTAAAAACTTTTGCAAAAAGCGAATCTGGAAAATCCATTAAACGCCACAACTGCTTCACCAAGAGTGCCGAATTAAAATCATTAACATCTCTTAAACCCAACCCTCCCAACTTCTTACTCACACAAAGCTTGTCCCATGCACGCCAATGCATACCACATATCTGCCCATTATTACTCCACCAAAAGTTGGCAACTGCACAAGTCAACTTCGATGTTATTGTTTTCGGGAGCCGAAAACATGACATAACATACGTTGAGAGGGCAGCTGCCACCGATTTTATCATAACTTCCTTCCCCCCTCCCTTCGATAGCAATTTCGCAGACCAGCCATTTATGTGATTATTTAGCCTATCCCGAACAAAAGAGAAAACTTGAGTCTTTGCTCCGCCTAAACTTTCCGGTAATCCAAGATATGATCCCATTCCGCCTAACTGAAAAATTCCAAGAGTCTGCTGAATCGCCGTTCTAACGTTTATATCTACACAATGACGGAATTGTAAGGATGACTTCGAGAAATTGATTTACTGTCCCGACATCACCTCATACTGTTTCAAAATACCAAGTATAACCGCGCATTGCTCCGTTGTCGCTCGACAGAAAAATAAACTATCATCGGCAAATAAAAGATGGGATATTGGGGGACTCCTGTTAGCCACTTTTATCCCTGATATCAATTTATTTTGCTCCGCTTTCCTAATTTTAGATATCAGAACTTCCGTACAAAGAATAAACAGATACGGAGATAAAGGGTCCCCTTGTCGTAGCTCCGCCCTGGTTTAATTAAACCTTTGGGTTGACCATTTAGTAAAACTTGATACTCAACCGAAGACATGCAAAACATAATCCAAGAAATCCATTTTTTTGAGAACCCCAACTTCCTGAAAGCGTTCAACAAAAATCCATTCAACCCTATCATAAGCCTTACTCATATCCGTTTTAATAGTTAGAAACTTACTCTTACAAGATGGATTTGTCCTTAAACCATGAAACATCTCTTGACCCACCAAAATATTATCTGAGATAAACCGTCCTGGCATAAAAGCAGTCTGGGTCTCCGAGATAAGACGGGGAAGAATTGTCTTTAGTCGTTGATAGAGCACTTTAGATATAACTTTATATCCTACATTACACAAACTAATAGGCCGCATTTCCGTCATCCGAGTCGGTCTCTTTACCTTCGGGATAAGACAAATATTGGTTTGATTCAACCGCTTATCAAAACAATCGTTTTGGAAAAAATATGAGACTATCTGAACCAGGTCACCCTTTATAACCTCCCATGATTTCTGAAAAAATAAACCCGTCATACCATCCGGACCTGGAGCCTTATCTGGAGCCTTCACCTAGTCCTTGACTTGGACCACACGCTTATCCACGCGAGGCTTGTTTTGAAACTTTCTATAAAAGAGAAGTATCTACTCGAAGAAGCTGACTCAAGGCTAGATCTATGGAGATGTAATGACTATTTGATAAAGCTACGACCTTTCTTCATGAGTTTCTACTAGAAGCCAACAAGCTTTTCACCATGCACGTTTACACAATGGGCACTTCCAGTTACGCTGAGTCGGTGTTGAAGTTGATTGATCCGGATCAAGTTTACTTTGGTCACCAAGTCATAGCTAGAGAAGCAAGTCCTGACTATAAGACACTTGAACTTGTTAAGGCTGATGATAAGCGTAGAGTTGTGATTGTTGATGATACGGTTGATGTTTGGCTTTATGACAAGAGAAACTTGTGTAAGATCACCGGATATAATAATTTCAGAGACCATCGTACTAGGTCTGAATCATACGCAGAAGAGAAGAAAGACGAGAGCCGAAGCAAAGGATCATTGGCGAGTGTTTTAAAATTTCTTCAAGAAGTTCACAAAATATTTCAAGAAGAGTTCGATTTTAAAGATTTAAGGTTATTGACTTGCAACACAAGGAAGAAGAAGCTTCACCTAGTCCTTGACTTGGACCACACGCTTGTCCACTCAAGGCTTGTTTCGGACCTTTTTATAAAGGAGAAGTATCTACTCGAAGAAACCGATTCAAGGCTAGATCTATGGAGATGCAACGTACCATCCCATTACGAATATTTGATAAAGCTACGACCTTATGTTCATGAGTTTCTATTAGAAGCCAACAAGCTTTTCACTATGCACGTTTACACATTGCGCAGTTCCAGTTACGTTAAGACAGTGTTGAAGTTGATTGATCCGGATAACGTATACTTTGGACACCGAGTCGTGAGGAAAGGAGCAAGTCCTTACTACAAGACACTTGATCTTGTTTTGGCTGATAAGCGTAGAGTGTTGATTGTTGATTCGTTTGATGTTTGGCCTTATGACAAGAGAAACTTGTATCAGATCACCGAATACAGATACTTCAGAAAGCTTCGTGCTCGGTCTGAATCATACGCAGAACAGAAAAAAGACGAGAGCCGAAGCAAAGGATCATTGGCTAATGTTCTTAAATTTCTTCAAGATGTTCACAAAATATTCAAAGAGGAGTTAGATTGTAAAGATGTGAGGTTATGGACTTGGACCACATCGAAGCCCAAAAAAAGCCCATCAACATCCAAGTCCACCTCTGTGAAAGGATTAGTAGAAGAAGAGTCCTTATCTTCTTTACCAAATAGTTCTCTAGTTTCTACATTTTCAACTTCTTTGTCTTTGAGTGACGACAAGGCTCTAGTGAGCTCTGATAAACCCTAAATGGTTACAATACATTATTTAACCAATTAAAACATTCGAGTTAAAAAACAAATACCTCCACATCTATATTTACACTACATGAATGCATACATTATTAATATGATAACTGAGATTGGGTGCATGCATATGATTATTAGAGACGATGGTACTTTGTCTGAAACATACACAAAAAAAGGTTATATATATAACTTCCAAAATAAACTTGTATCCAAGTTCCAAAGTTAAATTATTGCGACTAAACAATGATCACTTTTTGGCTTTGTTTTTCATTATACAATTTTATTTCCTCTTCTTTAGTTTTACCCCATAGACCAAGGTATAGTCCACACACCAACAACACTCCTCCACCCACACTGCACCAAGTATAAACACAAACATAAGATTCTAAGGACATACACTTATATATGGTATGAAATTATAATTTGTTTGTTTTAAACAACAAACCTTCCAAGGTATAGTGTTTCCTTGAATAGGAAAGATGAGATAATGCAAGTAATGATGAGAGCTAAAGGAGTGTAGAGTGCAGTGAACACTGGTCCTTTCTTCTCTATTGCCCACACTTGTAACCAATATGTAAGTCCAGTCACCATGATTCCCTATTAAGTTTTGGTTTAATTATATACTATATACTATTCTTTGATTAAACAGAAAGATATATTTCATATTTGATATATAATTTAGAGATTAGAGATGATTTTAACATACACAATAAGCCATTGAGAGAAGAGGTAAGCCGAATTCAATCTTCCAAACTGATGGATTTCTGTTTGCCGCGACTGCCCAAACTCCGGTTTGTATGCAACTGAAAAGGCATTGAAGTGCTACTAGTCGCAACTTTGCTGGGTACTCCTTCATCACTTTGCTCTAATTAACAAACACCATCAATCAAAATTGTTAAAAAATTGGGGGAAAATTCTCGAAAACGCATTTTATTTAATATTCGCCAGAAAAATGCATGAAATCTTTATTTTACCATTTTTTTTATAAAACTAATCATGTAAATTAATATGATTCAACTATATACTTTTAGTATTTATAGATTGTAAAATAATATTATATTATATTTATTTATTTATAAAATAAACATTTCGACTAAATCAAGTTTCTACGGACATATACTTGATGTCATACCTATGTCATGTCTGAAAATAATGGTGTGTACTTGTGTTTTAGTGCTTCCGTACAAGAGACATAGGTAGTTGAATATTTTTGTAGTTTATTTTGTTGTATGAATCATATGATAAATAATTTGTGTTTTGACTAGAATTTATTTTATCCAATAGAGAGAGAGAGAGACGTGGACTGGTTCCAAATAATTTTTAAACTGAAGAAGACAATACCATTACTCCATAACCTATGAAAGTGTATAAAGAGACTAGTCCTTTTCATATCATGGTGAAGGTCCAATTACGTAATCGGATATTAAGTGAAATTTTCAAAAATAATATCATATTTTCAGGAAAAAAAATTAAAATATAAATCTAAACTTATATTTCTTCGTTGAAAAAACAGCTTAAAACTTTTACATTATATATATTTTTTTTTACCTAACTAAAAGTATCTCACATATATATAGCAAAAAAAAAAAAAAAGATGAGCTTATAGAAAAAATATATTTTTCATATTACCAAAATTTTTAATGTATTTACGTATGTTTTTCATAATATATAGATATTTCTATCACACACAAAAAGAAATCCGGATTTTTCGCGATTTTTAATAATTCTCCTTGTTAATAATGAACGGAAAATAAACACACACAAAAAGTTACTATCCAATGCCTAATACATGTCAAAATAGTGTTTTCAACTGAATTAACTAGATAAACAAAATTAACAATTAAAGAAAACAAATCAAGAGCATCATTATTAAGGGTCTCTTAAACAAATCTTAAGTTAAGATTTCTTCAAGAAAACGGTTCTTATATAAGCGTTTCTCCTAACAATATAAGATTTGTTTAAGATACTTTTAATAATGATGATGGTCTAAAGTAGCAAGCAACGATTAAGAAATTAGGAATGCAACTAGTGAAGTGATGAGAAAGTAAGTGGCATACCTGCATGATAATCCACATACACCAACAAGTATTGGCAGATAGCATTGTGATAGAACCTTTCACAGAGTTTTTGGTTGATGCAACGCTGCCGTTTGGTATGGTATTGTTGTTATAGTGGTTGATCAAACTTGGCCCTTTCACAAAAGCAAAAACTAATGCGCCTAACATTCCAATCATCGAACCAATGACTTTGGCCACTCCATGTGACTTCTTCAACGTCACAGTCTCTAATCTTTTCATTTGATTTATATATTCAGGTTAGAATCAGTGCCCACATAGTCAACTTGCTTATTATAATTTAGATGCTTGATCAAATTTTACTGAATATTCTAAATATAACTTTTGATAAATTGATTATATATTTTTCTTTGACCTGCATGGTTTTGTTACACTATGACCATGAACGGTGAACGTAAAAGCTAGCGGGGCCTTTTTTGTCCCGCACCGCAATAACGCATTTATGTTACCATTCAATCCGAGTTTTTTTTTATTAGTGTTTTAAAAAACAAAAAAATTTGAGCTTTGCACAATTAACCAGCCTATATAGGTATGAAACACTTTTAAAAACACAAGTAGTATTTGCCTAGCGATCTAAAAATATCGAAAATCACACTTATCCCGCAAAACTTTTTTTCGTAAATTCCGCAGTTGAACTGCACCGTATATTGAAACTGTTTATCCCATACAGTCAAATGCGCTATCACCATTTATACACTATATACCCTATTTAAAAATAATAATTTTCTCCTATTGTATATATTTTGTTTCCTTTAGACCAATCTTTTGAGTCAAAACTCAACTCATAATAGTCATTTTGTTGTTTTCTCCTGCTTACTTTTTCTTATCGCTATAAAGAATTTACTTCTACACAAAGCAAAGTAACAACTTAGTTATATTATACTGCATATATAAAATAAACCATATTTAACAATTAACACTAACCAGTTATATTATATGTAATTGTCATGTGTTAATGAAAAATTAAATAATATGGGTTATCATATATGCTTTAAGAATATTAAAAGAAATAATAAAATAAACAAAGTGATTTTATTTGATTTGATATATTTTTTAACCGATTCTTTAACTTTTTTAATCAGAAATTATATAAAAATTAAAATAAAGTATTATGCCCTCTGACCCCCATTAAAAAATAAACAAAATATAATCTTTGAATCAGTTCAGGAGGTATATGAACGAGAAGGACTCTTTATACCTGAACAGGAGAGCCAAGACAAAGGTGATAGATGGTATCGCGTTGGTGGTGGCTGCAGCAAAGGTGGCAGTAGTGTTTTCGATGGCCACATAGTAGAGGTTAAGACTCAGCGTAAGCCTAGATTTATATAACACTTAGTTAATAACTTGAATCCAAGAATCAGATTTCACAATCTATAGTAATATATATGTACCCGCATAAGGAGATGAAGAATATTTTGAGCAGCAAGACGAACGATAAAGGCGAGGCTTTCGAGCTGCGAAAAAACATAGAAGTTATGAGAATATTATATGTAGCTTAACGGTTTATACTAATGTTGTCATTTGTGTAACCATGCGCGGATTCAAACTAGTATGATATCGCTACAAGAAAACATATCGATATCCGACCACCATATATGTATGGATATAGAGTGGTTAAAACAGGAGAACCTTTCGAGGAAGAACGCGAAAGGGGATAAGGCAAGAGCTGCAAAGGCTTGTCTATAGAAAACAAAGACAAAAGGGTTGGTTCCTTGAGAAATGGCAACTTTAGAGAGTAATGGCATGCCTGCGTATATGATTTGTACAAACACCATTGCCATGTTGGCTTTGTGCTTCATCATCATCTTGAAGAAGTTAGTAAATAGTGATATATGTTTTGTTTTTTTTGTTCTTTTATGTGATGAAGAGCTTCACTTTGCTCCTCTTCCGCTATATATGCATTTGTGTTGGTGGGCATTTTAAAGGGTTTTCTCATCTTTTTGTTTTGGTCACTAGTCTATAGTAGTAGTACAGCTAATATGGACACGTGTACTTCCATTGAAAATGTTACAATCAAATCAAAACATCTTTCCACAAACATTTTTTGTCTTCTCCTCAAGATTTTAGTGATTTCATGATCTCCTCATAAATTTGCAAAAATTACTCAGTTGTATCGGCGCATACATGTCACACTATATCATATCATGTTCTTTATCTATATCTAGAGAAACATAAGTACGTTATTCCAACTTGTAAGTGGTTTCATTTTATTCAACGTTGATATGATTTGAGTTCTAATCCAATAACATCCCCAAGAACACGATTAAATGTTATATATACTATTATTAATATCGGATTTACAAAATTTCGGTAAAGAATTTTTTTCGGTTATGGAATGAATTTTCGATGACTCAAATATAAGAAAATATCAATTTATAACGCCGAATATCGTCTTTCATTTCGTTCTCGCCAATTCTATAGTGTATTAAATAATTTGGTAACACTTTGATAAAGAAAAAAAATAGGAATATATATATATATATTAAATCTTGCAATGAAGGGATATGAATCGAAATAACATCCCAAAAACACGGTTAAATGTTATTAAGATCGAATTTGCAAGATTTTGGTAATGGATTTTTCCGGTTATCAACTTATTTTGGTTACGGAACAAATTTTCGATTACTCAAATAAAAGAAAAATACCAACTTATATATCGTCGTTCTCGCCAATTTTATCATGTATAATTTGGCAACGTCAGGATTAAGAAAAAGATTACAACTATATATATAAAACCTTGCTATGAAGGGAAACAACAATGGATAATTTTATTATTAATACATTAAAGAGAAGATAAAGCCGAAGATTCAAAGTGGCAAGACACTAATGTCGGACAAAAGAGAAAGCAAGAGCACGCAGCTTCGCGTTGATAATTTACAATATGCATTTCTGCTGTTTCAACCTTTTTTTTTTTGTTTTTTTTTTGTTTCTGCTTTCTAACATTTAAAGGAAACTTTTATTTATTTTTTGTTTTTATTTATACACTATACAATTTTGTCTGCATTTGCGTGAATAATTTAATTAAATAGAGAAATACCCTAAAATATCGTAAACTTTTGAACTAGGTAACTATTCATTGTTGGCTCAAATTAAATAGGTAGATGATAATATACAGTAGTTAGTGATAATTATTATTTTAAAAAATTATATATATATAGTAATGGTGTAGCTTATATTGCCATCGAATATCTTTTTGTATAAAAATATTATTAATAATTATTATGGAAATATTGTTTTATTTAGTGATATAAAACGTTTTTATTATGTTAATAGTTTCTATCAAATGGATGCATAGCAAATTAAACCAAACTTTTTGATCTCGAATTGGTTCTTCATATCTTTCATTTGATAAAATGGACAACTACCTAAAGGTAAAAGAAATCTTAAAACATTAATAATTATAATATTAATACATATAAATGATTCTATTATTTGGTGTTGGAAGAATTAGATAGATATTGCTAGATGATATAATTAGAAAAATCTTGGCTCCTGGTCAATTCAGATTAATTAAAAAATGTGAATTGGATTAGACTGTTAATATTGAATTAACATGTGGTCATTTAAATTTCAAAAGAAGTGACATATTGATAGTTAACCTGAAACTAAATATGGCCCTGTTCGGTTTTTGTATTTTGCATTTCCATCAACGTGATCAATTCAAATGATTTATTTAAGTGATCCATTTGAATGCTAAATGACCAAACGAACAAGACATGTCCATCTAGATGATCTATTTGACCGAAAATGTATTTGTTTGATTATTTACATTTTTCATCTAGATGGATTTGATTTACAAAATGACTAAAATACCTTTGTTTTAATCTAATACAAATTTCTTTCAATCTTTATAAAAATCATAGTAATTTTAAATTATTGATCTAAAATATTTACACATCTAAATAATTTACAAATATTATTTTTGACATTTCTAAATTCCATTTTTATGAAATATTATTTGGATGATATATAAGGGTATATTTATCATTTGTCATTTTGGATGAACCATCTCCTTCCAAATTATCCAACTAGCTAGAGTTATTAAAATGACATTCAAAATTTTATTTAAAATTTAAAAACTCATCCAGAATCATCTGGATGATGTTCATTTCTAGACTTAAACTAACAATATCTGGATGGACCATCTAAATGAACAAACAAACATGACCTATGTCTTCACAATATTTAGAAGAATAAATTCCTTTATGATGTGATAATGGGAAGCTTGGAACATAGAGCTAATGAGCAGCTTGAACTTGAGGAGCTTGAAGCGAACGAGCAGCTTGAAGATGAAGATATTGGAGCTAAATAAGCGTTTCACTTCCCTAAAGTCCTATGACACTAAAGGGTAGTCTTGAGTGTGCTTATCCAACTACGTTGGTTGAGATTCAAGCCACTTAAGCTGAGATAGTGGAGGTGTGTGACTTGTACTCTTTTTTCCTCCTCTTGGTTTTGTTCCACTGGGTTTTCCGAGAGAGGTTTTTAATGAGTCAAGGCCACACACTTTTACAAAAGTCCATTGTTCTCCAGCCCAGCCTGCAGCCAGAGAAGTTTAAGAGTCTTCCTGTGTGTTGTCCTATCTTATAAAACCATATAAATTCTTTCTTCTTTCTTTTTAAATCTCATCAAACATTTTCTTATTAAAAAATCTCTTATGAACTTGTTTGATCACCTTGACTTTGTGTTTTAGTATGTACTATCTAACAACCTCATCTCGTGAATGGTTTTGGAGTTTCAAACCCAAGTAGGATCGAGTTTGAAAGTTCAAAGGATTTTCATAAGCTTTGAAAGTTTCTATCAATCCATTCTCAGTCCAGAAATCATCTCAGCCACACATCTGCACAAATCGGCCAGTTTCAGAACCGCCGTCCGTTCGCAGCCGGGCCACACGTCGCACAAACCCGCCAGTTTTAGAACAACCGTCCGTTCTCAACCCGGCCATTCATAAGATCAATCTAGGCACCAATTCGCACAAACCCGCCTCTTTTGGAACCGCCGGCCTTTCGCAACCTGGCCACAATCAGAGATCTATTAACTACACAAAGTGTTCAAGGGGCATAGATCTTCTAACCAAGATCCTATCACTTTACTACCATATATCATCATAGTAGTTTCACTAGATACATATCGTTGTAAATTTTGCAACGAGAAAACCAATCTAGAGGGTGTTATGAGTAAAATACTATCATAGGCGTACTTTTATTTACATGCAAAAAGAAAAAAAAAATAACAAATATTATTTTACATCATCTTATTATTTTCAAAAGGAAAAAAAAAAGACAACAAAAATATATCAATATTTTACCTCAAATATTCATACACTTGTGCTTACACTTGGAGATGTGTCTAAAGACCATAACATGCAATCAAATATTATGATTTTATTTTTCTTTAAAAAGATTATATAAAATATGTTGACTTTATCATGAATAGAGTTTGATTTGGTTTATCATAAAAAATCCTTTAAATTTTTAAAAAACTAAGGTAAGTTTTGAAATTTTACGTAAGATACAATTTTTTAAAATATTACATTACTTTTGTTCAACATAAGACTAGTATACCAAATGTCGAGTTTTCAAGTAATATATAATTAGAAAAATAAAATGAAGAATTTAATTAATATTATAATAATATGAAGAATTTAATTATTATTATAATAATTACATCAATTACCACTACAACTATAATGGTGATATGAATGAGTTCGCCATTGTATATAAATTCCACCGGCGAGATATGTTCTTCTGCGATTTTGGAAAAATCGAGAAATCGCATATCATTCTATTATAAAGAGTTCATAATCATTTATCCTTATATTCTAAAGAGTTCTTTTTTTTTTTGTCATCATTCTAATGAGTTCATAATTTCTTATCCATGAATTCAATGAATTTAAAGATTAACAATCCTGCTATAATTAATTTAAGAAGAAATTGAATTCTAACCTTCTCAGTTCCAATTGATTCATATATGTTCTGATAAATTTTTAACAAATTTTTTCTTCTTGCACATTCTTGGACATGCACTTTCTGCTTGTTCTACATCAACTCGATAATCACTCATGAGTTATAGTATAAGTTATCTTACAAGTTTGCATGATTTCTGAGTCCCTTAAGACTTTCAAAAGAAAATATTTACAATGGAGAAATGATACAAATAAATCAAATTTTCATTGTAAACAACAAAGAGGCAGAAAGTACACAATTGTACACATTGTGTACAGTAATAAGTAAGTGTTTTTAGTCTTTTAAATAAACAAATGAATAGATTTATTATTAAAAAATATGTAATGATAATCAAACTATAACTAAGAAGAAAAAGAAATACCAAAAAAATATACTAAATACATGATATTCAAATAAATCAAACTTATTTATGAAAACAGTCGTGCAACTCATGATAAAATAATAAACTATTGATACAAAATTTAAATATATTTTGTCTATTTTATATGTTTTACATCAAACTAAAATTTTGCATTTATAAGTTAAAACTACGTCATGAACTAATTAACTCTTAATGCACTATACGTGAGAGAGTGTATCATAGTAGTTTTTTTCTCGTAGTCTTACGCATAAAGAATATTCAACAAAAATCAGAGTGTATTTAGAATTGGGGCATAAATTACTTGTTACTAATAATATTAAATTTACATAATATATATTTAAAATAAAATAATTATAAATTTCCATTTTTGATATAATTTTTTAAAAAATTATTTTTATTTGGTTTTTAAATATTTGTAATTGCAAATTATATTTTTTTTTGTCAACAATACTAGCAATTAGCTCAAACGAGCCAATTCAAGGGACAATTGTTTACATACTTAACAGGGAACGGAGTG